AGTATAGCTAAATATATATCACATTATATTTATTTCATAATAAATAATAAGTATAAAAGGAAATAATACAGAATAAGTAAATAATTTGCTTTGCATATTTATAAATCATGATAGTATGAAAATTGTAGACATGAAAACAAAAAAAACCAATATTTGCATATAGGAATATTTTACATTAGTATTTGTAGACTATATAAATATTGTTGAATGTAAAATATACTGCATATATATAGAATTTGTGGCAATTTGAGTGGTTACACTTGAAAATACAATCCAAAGTGAGGCAAGAGTGAGAAAGAAGAGTAAGGCTTGCCAAGAGTTTAGCTAAATGCTGGCCAAGTATAATGCTTATCGCTAACTAACGACTATTCGCTTTTCCTCTGAATATTTTCCCTTTTTGGTTCATTTATTCTTCTAACTTTACTCACTTCTGCTGGCCAAGCTCTCGACATACTGACCTAATTCACTTTCAACTACTTGAAAACATTTTAAGAAAATAAGTACCAGTTGACCGCAGTCTCTTTAAAAGTTATTTACTTCTCTTGATAATAGTTTTAGTGTAAGTGAAAAACGTGAAGGTATTTGTTAATTTCTCGTTAATTTTCGAGAAATAATTAATTGCCAAGTACAAATACCAACTTGGACGAGACGATCAACAAATTTAACTTACTTGTAACATTCCTCGAAGAGACAAAATCTCCTTCAAACTGTCAGAATCGGTGGCCCAAATGCTACTGAAACTTCTCCCATGTAATTGCTCTTCTATGGGTAATAGTTCAAGGTTAGTGACTCTCACTTTCAATTCTTTTTATCTCCAAAATTCATTTCAGTATTTCAGTAGATTCAACCCTTTTAGTGCTCATTTTCCTAAAAGCCCGAATAATTATGAAGTTCTGAATGGTTTTTGGTTTATTCTGAAGTTGTCAGTTTTTTCCATATCTTTTTGCTTGATTATATTTACCCTTATATTTATTTACCCTTGTTGGTTTATTCATAGAATTTTTAATATGAAGAAAGTTGCTGGAAATCTGAAAAAGAAGAAGATTCAAAGGAAAGATAACTTTATGTGCACAATTTCAGTATGAACAGCTATATATGTTTTAGTCGCATGAAAAGTTTTTCCTTGGTTCTATCCGCATTATTGACAAGTATCGCAATAATTACAGTTGTTTCATAGTAATTATCAGTTTTATAAAGATTACAATATAAACGTCAGTAGCAGTATGACTTTAACATTTTAATATTGTGAGTGCGTTGTGCAGGCCAAGTGATTATTAACTTTTGTACTTTATTTATCTACTCCCTGGACTGATTTTAGTATATTGATTCTAGCACGTGCAATACGCATCGAAAAAAACTTAATCGAAATAGATTAAGTGAATAAATGTATCAGGTATTTATTATTTTAATTCTGCATTTTCTTTACACGTATTTAACATTTGTGTCTCAAAGAATCTTAAAATGTTGTGTTTGGTCTTATGCAAATAATTTGAATAGTTTATTAATTACTTTATAGAATAATTGCCACTACTGATGTTTGCTTTCATCTTTCAGTACTAAAGGCTGAGAATATTGAATTAAAACAATTGATCAAGTAATCATATTAAAAAGAATTATGTAATAAAATTATCACTACGGTTGTCATAGTTGCATTGATTTGGATCATTAAGTGAAACAGGAGGAGCCTTCGCTAACAAGAGCTCTTCTACTAAAGTAAAAACTTTTTTAGAGAAGTGTAAAAAATAATTAGTCGAAGTGTTAAAAAAAGTTAAATGAACAAATATTTATTTAATATTCTTCCCCACCGTCACTTGATATTTATTTATATTGAAAAATTTCTTGAATATATCACTTTTAATTCAGATTTTCATTGATGACTGACTGCTTCTGACCGAGCTGTGATTGGATCATCCAAGCACAGTGTCTGAATGTAATGAAAACAAAAAATTAATTATATAATAAAATGATTAATATGGTTGCCATAGTTGCATTGATTTAAATCATTTATCATGAGTAGCCATCTTTTACTAACAGACATCATTTTTGCCAAGTACAAACTTTTGGAGAGAAATAATTAGCCAAAATAAGTATTAGTAATAGTAAAATGAACAAATACTGGACAATTCAGATAATTAGCTTTCTCTGTACTCATAAACATGAAAACTTCTTGCAGCTTTTGAAAATTCTGGGAAATAGCAGGTAGTAGGCAAACGTAATTAAAAGCTAGAATAAAATTTCATATATATCAAATATAAACGCATTCTCAAATGTCAAACTTTGTTTACATCACGTTATTTTAACTCGCTGCTCCAGAATTTCAAGTTAATTAGAGCCAATAATAGCATACAACTTGCATCTGAAAACTTTTTGATTAATGATAATTACTGTCTATTTGAAAGATAATTGACTGAAGAGTTAAAATATTTTATTGCATCAATTTACTGTCTTAAAAGTATACAAGTTCAGATTCCCTATTCTTCATATTTTTCCTTCTGATCGAAATTTACTGGCAGATTTTTTGCTTTAATTAATAGTTTAATTTTTATAAGACAAATTTTTTAACGTTCATTGAAATTTTATGCTCTAATGATTTGTAGCGAGCACACTTTTGCACAAAAATTCATCTTTTATAAGGTTGCCGTTTTGCCAGCAGTAAAGTCATGCTCAATAACCTTATTATTTATGGGGAGAATTGAAGAATTTGAACTGAGCAGAATTTCAAGTAATAAAAACTTATGACTGATTAAGAATGCTAGTCATGTACAAAGACTGTTAACAGCATGCAGTACGAGAAGCACTTAATTTCTTGTTCAACTTTACACTGCCCAGAATTTGATTAATATAAAAATTCTGATCGTGAAAAAGTTTTGAAACTAATTATTTTTTCAGTGTTTTCTTTTCAACACGGTTTAACAATTTCTTTATTAGTAGACAAAATTTTATGCGAAATTTATTGATTCAAGATATTCTTGTTCTAATCAAGTTTTGTTTCTCATTTATGGCTAACTGTACAAATCTTCTAGCCAAAATTCATGAAAGCATTTTGATGCATAAATATGTCATCATGAATATGATATATCAAGCAAATTATAACCCTTTGAGTTTTTTTGTTTCAGTCAATTTAATTTATTTAGTATTTTTAAATTTCCATATGAAACTATTTGCTTCAAATTTAGGACATTGTTTAAAAAGCATAAAGATAAACAAAAAGAAATAACAATTTACTCATTTGTTCTATGAGAATAATATGATTAATCTTACTAGCATGACAATATTTAATCATATAAAATAGATAAAAATTACTTATCAATTGTGATAATCAAAATTTCGAAAACCAATGTAAAGTTTCGATATTATTGCCGGAAGCAAATGCTGAAGAGATCAAAATTTTGATCTAATAAATAATAATTTTTGGTGGCTGAAAAAAGTCGATTTTTCAGCCGCCAAAAAAGTTTTAAAAAAAACTTGAATTATGACTAGAAGAAAAAGTATTCACTCTCAAGAACAGAAGATTTTTTTTGGAAATTCACAATAATTTGCTTGCAGCAAGCTTAATTCATTCAAAATCGAATATTTTTTATTGTGAAAGTTAATTGCGAGAATAAATACAATAAATAATTGACAAAATTAAAGCGCTAAAAGCTTTGTTAACTTTTTTAACTGTTTAGCTTGGCAGCACATAATAACGAAAATCTGAATGTTGATCAGGCACTGAATAGTGATACCAAAACCAAGTAAGTACTTTATTTTCTTGTTTTTGAAGCACTAACTGATCGAAATTATCACTGAAGATTGGTTGTTGCTACTATTCAAGCAAAAATAATCCAACTTTGTGCCGTGATTCGTGCAAATTGTTCCTTCAGTACTATTATTACTACTATTATTGCATAATTATAAAAATTAACCATGTACTGAAAAATTGGCATCTGGTTTATTTTGTTGTGAAGAATGTAATCGAATTTTATTTGCAGTGAAAGCAACATTTTCCCTAACTTTATTTACTCTGTGTAATTGTTATTTTCTTAAAATATTCAAATAAGAGGATAATGCTAACATCAATTTGAATTGCTGCTAGGATAAGATTTGTTTGCTGTAGAACTCACCTGACCGAAAGTTGACTTTTCTTCCAATAATTCAGCTATACCTTCTTACGCACTGCATTTCAACTCAAACAAAATTATTTACTCAAACCTTTGCACTGTGAACTTTTCGCTTCCACTATAATGGTCACTATCAAGTTATTACTTAACTAGTAAATGACTTAATTTCAAAGATTATTATCAAAAGTAAATGAAAGAATAAAACTGCAATTGGATAATTCTAATCATTGCATAAGTTGTATTCAAAATGCATATAATTACGACTTCAGTTAAGAAACTAATTTAATGCATTTAATATTTCAGAACAACTTTTGAGGAGGTATCTGCATGGGGGACATCATTTGATCGCCTTATGAAACATTGTGGTATTAATTTTGATTCTTGCAAAGACTCTACTTGGATGATTTCTATGATTGATCAAAATTATCACGCAAAAACTGTTTAAACAATGTAAAATGAGTTAAGAATGTATTTCTTAACATCAAATCCTGCAATTTATAACATTTTGGAACTTTTTAATTATTACTTCGTGTTTAGCTACCGTATTAATCCTAACTGGTCAATCAGGTTTTAAAAAACTCAATAAATTTCCGCATTTTGTAATTAAACCACAAGTTATTCATTTGCTTTATTAATAATATGAAGACAACTGTGAAAACTAATATAAATTTAAACTCTTTTTAGCATATAAATAATTGAATACAATTAATAGAAGGTAAAATATTTCAGCTGTTACTGACCTTTTTACAAAGGTTCTGGTTACTCTTCTCCAATATTGATGTTGTTGATGACATTGTTTCATTATTATTAGATAATTATGTTAACAGTAGCAGAATACAGCATCTTAATCTGTATTGAGTATTAATCCAAAAAAGATTATTGACTAATTTGCATGAAAATATGGTTTTCAAACTTATTGTTACAGCTGGACAAAAATATTTTGCTGAGTTTCTTAAAAGTGAATACAGTGATGAGAATATATTATTTTGGCAAGCATGTGAAGAACTGAAACGTGAACAAAGCCGTGAGAAAATGGAAGAAAAAGTGAGTTCTATTCCTAAAACCATGATTATTTATTAGTGGATAATAGGGTTGAGTAATCAAAAAGTACGATGAGGATCTTTTTGCTGATTGAAACATTTACTGAATTAAATTTATATAAGTTTTGACTTTTCGCATTGATTTGTGAAAACTTTACATTTACTCAATTATTTGTCATCAAAATACGCAATAAAAAATAAATTTTGCTTTAATTCATAATTCAAATAGTAATTATTTTCAAATAATTTTGATTACTTGAACCGTGCAGATAGGATAATTATTATATTATGATTATTATGAAAAAATAAATTAATTAATGTAGTCTAATTAAGTACTAAATTTGATTGAAATGGCTAATGTACTCTCTTTTAGATTTGGAAACTTTTGTGTATGGAATTGAAAAAAGGAACCATTGATAATAATGATGCTTGATAGATAAAACTTTTGCTGCATTACTCTGAAATGATTGAAATCTTAAAATAAACTTAATTATTAATCTTTTGTATATAAAAAAGTATTTTACAATTTTTAAGGCATATTTTTAGACATTGAAAATTTGATTGTTATAAAACTTTGGCATTGTAATGAAATTAGTCTCGTTCTATTTGTTTGCAACCAACTTCTCCCAAATTAAAATCTTTGGAAGCAGCAAAGCAAACTAAATTTAGTTTTGAAAAAGTTAGTAAACATATAATGCGCTTTCTGTACCCAAAACATTTCTCACCAGAAATCATTTTATATGTTTCTATTCTTGATTCTATCGTTTTGAATTTCCTTATCAATAACAGGAATGTTAAATTGTAAGTAAGTTTACTAATATTCAAAAAGTCCGCTTGCTGCAAATTCTTATCAAGAGTGCACTAATAAGACTTTTGTTGTTTTGTTTTGTCTCAGTATTTGTTAACACATAATTGAGATTGGAGGAAATTATTAAAAAATTAGAACTAGAAAAAATACTGTAAAATACTTCACATTTCAAGTCTGCAATAATCACTGTATCACAATTTTGGCTGCATAAAAATTTATTTTGTCAATTATTTCCTTCACTGATTTTAAAACCTTTCAAAGTTGCTGATGTTTTCATTTAATATGCTTATCAGAAATGTATTTAATAAAATATTAATATTGCAGGCACGGATAATTTATAAAGATTTTATATCAATTCTGTCACCTAAAGAAGTATCACTTGACTCACGTGTTAGGGAAATTATCAACAATGACATGACGTATCCAACAGCGCACACGTTTGATGAAGCGCAAAATCAAATTTACACTTTGATGCAACGAGATTCGTATCCTCGTTTTGTGGTATCTGATTTGTATAAGAAAATTCTGGCCTCTTACGGACATATGGAAGAACTGTGACAAATCTGATCACATAACTTGATTCGCATAATCTCAACTTATGTACTAAATGTTGCGCACTGTCTTGACAAGAATAGTTATTTTTGTTCACGTCAATTATTCTGATTTCTATTAATTATTATGGTTTAAATTTCTTAATGTCATGAAAGATAACAAAAATATTTCCGAACTAACGCGATTTGAGCATAAATTTTTCAAATTACCTGCCAGAAACTCTGAAAATTGTATTTTAAGATAGAAAAACTTGAAATCGATTGTGAAAACAGACAAAATATCAATTTAATGACTGTAAATAATTAGAACTACCGAAACAGACTGTGCACAAGCAACTGAAATGCAAATGAGTACTTCCGATTGATTTTAGCAACTGAGACATTTATATATTCTTTACAAAAATTATATTTGAACTGAAATAAATTGATTATTTATATTCTAAAAAATACGACTTTTTCACTAATTGCATTATATTTTCTTCATAATATCCCCTAAGTCTTCCCTTTTGCGTAAAGAATAATGCGAATTTATCACTTTTAAAAATTTATAATTGTGTGATTGGTTTACTGAAGTTTTGCTCTTTCAGACTGAACTCATAAAATTCTGAGTTTTTTGAAAGTCTTTATTTCAAAGGAGTTAAACATTTGGCTCAGGAATGCTTTTTCAAGGTAGTGTGTTTATTCACTATTTTGTGTAAATAAAAATGTGATAAAAATTAAATGGCACTCATTTTTATGCAAAATTCGTATTAATAGATAGAAAACTATTATATGTAGTAAACGACTGAATAATTTAAATCCATAAAGAACTTAAGAAAAGCTTGCATTAATAATCCGTTACCAATACAAGTTCTGCTTTTCAACACAACTTTTATACTACTGTTTTTAACAGTGAGAGTAAATTTTAAATAATGAATCACACATTAGTTGTTTGTATGAATGTCACTTTCTTTTTCTTGCGAATTTGTAATTATTGGTCTTAAATATTGTTGTACAGCTGAAATAAAGTGCTGCTAACCAAACACCTACAAGAAATATGCAAATTTTCACTTTTACTAGGTTTATTTTTTTTTATATAACAGTATGATATAAGATCTTAACCGTGTCGGGTCAAATATTTAAGCATTGAACAAAATTAACAAAAACACCAAAAATTAAGGTTTGTCTCAAATTTTTGTTAAGTCTTAAAATATACTTGGGCATGAATGCCCGGACTTGACTCAACCAACCAAAATGTATTCAGTGCCTCATTGATCTTAAAAAAAATAAGATTCAAACTTGTGTTTAAGTAGTAATTTTTTTGAAGGCATTTCAAAGATGAGATGAGAAAGAAGAATTTTACTTTTTTCATCTATCATATGACTTTAAAAAAATTGAAATTAATACTTCAGTAGTAAAAAAGCATGAACAGCACGCTTGCATTTCAGAAAGCGAAAACTATTGTAATAAAGATGTGGTTTTTAATCAAAAACAATTATGGTCTGTAGATGTATTTATTAGAAAAAAAGTAGGATTATCGTTACGATAAACCTATCACAAAACTTTTTAGGCGCTGATTTTCAATGAAGTTATTGCTATTTGGGATGAAAAATGCGTGAAGAGGAATAGCAAACAAAAAGTAGTACAGAGTATTTTGGAAGAACAACAAGTGTAAAAGTTATCAGCAATCCAGAAATACTTTTTTGTAGTAAAATCGATTTAAGTATTGCTGAAATTCATTAGCAAATCATTGTTAGCTGAAGTAAGTAGCTAAGTAAATATACAATTATTAGCTAGCATTTTACCGAAATTTACTTGCAGTATTGCGTTGTTTTCATGTCATGAAAATTCTTCTACATTTCTCTTTCAGAAGCGACAAGTAAGGGGTGCATTGTTAAAAATTTAGAGTTCCATTTTAATAGTAACTTTATTATTACTTTTGAGGAGTATTTGCATTTTTCTCCCACTGTTATTATTGTTAGTTTTACAGACTTTAAAAAGTTTGCTAGCGCTGACGCGGAGATTTCTTCGATAAAATTTCAATGAAATTTTACGTCGACAACAATTAACTGTGTAGAATACCTGAAAGAAAAAGTGTGTAAAGCAAGGAGAAATGGAGATAGAGAGAGAAATGATTCAGGTAAAATGTAGAGTCTCTTTCTCATAACAAACTTTTAACTTCATTTCATTTTAAATCCCATCAAAACATATACTAACACATACACTATGACATGCACATACTTGGAAATTAAGAGGAATTTTCGATGATAGATTAGAAGAAATACTTATGGAAAAATAAATAAAGGAATAGAGAACGGATGAATGAATGAATGAATGCTTTTGTTGGTAGCAGAATAAGTAAGAGGCGAATTTAATTGTTGATAAAAAGTAACTTTCTGACACCAACCAGAAAATTTTCACATTGATAATAGCTAGCAGCACCGCATTGGCACCTATTTAGAATAAATTTAATCTCTTGAGTTCAATGCAAAACATTAAAGTTGCATTCTTTCACAGTATACTACAAATATAACGCCTGTGTTAAACATGAATTTCAATGTTAAAGTGAATATTGAGAAGATGCAGCTAATTTTTGTATTTTATGGAGATCTGCGAATAACATGGATTAGTTATGCTTAACTGTTAACAAATAAAGCGTGCTGAATTCTTGCGCACTTGCCCTCATTTATATTTCATACTTCGTCCCCTAAAATTGTTCATCTTGACTACCATCATCACCAACAACATCATCTCCCTTTTTCCTCTCCAATATTTTCACCTGTCATTTGTCACCGTGAAAAGTTTGCCCTCCTTTTCAATTCAATCATCAATCTATCCAACCATTCATTCACTCGTTCATTCATCTATCCATTCATCTATGTACCTATCTATCTACCTATCTATACATCCACACACCAATTGAATTGGTCGATCTTTCAAACATTCATTTCAACTCAATAATCATTACTGGTTTTTCAAGTTCTTCCACTGCTCCCTTCGAAATTCTATCCAAACGTGTATTCTTTTACCTTACCTTTACTACATTAACATTATACCTGTCTGTATACGCATGTTTATATGAGTGTACTGCGCAAAAATAGTCAAATATTTGTCGTTAACGAACAATTTTTAACACCTTTTCTTCTTTTCAATGCTGCTACAAGCGAAGAAAATGAAAACTTTCGAAGGCCACTCCTTTATTTAATACCTGTACACGTATACACATGCACATACACATACACACACATACATGACAGATGGCAGAGTTTGAGGGAGACAGAAATTAAGGGAAATCAGCAGATAACGAGCAACAACCAGTACATACCGGACTATTAACCGACGATAACCTGCCTTACCCAGTTCTGTCCTGTCCTGCCCTGCCCTGCCCTGCCCTGCCCTGTCCTGTTTTGTCCTGTCTTGTCTTGTCTTGCCCTGCCTGATGCTGTTGTAGAGTGTGCTGGTATGCTTGCCTGGTGCGACTAGTAGTACCGTCTTTGTTCTCATGTACCTGTTGTCACCGAACTATAACATAACATAACAACAGGTGCGCAAGAGGAGGAGCAACGATCCAGTCCCTTTGCCAACGCCAAAACCAAAAACTGCAACTAAAGCCGAACCGGACTGAGCTGGAGCGAACCAGATCAAATCGAACCAGAGCAAAACAAGCAAAAACGGGCCAACCAGCGAGCGAGTGGGAACCGACACCACCAGGACCGGATAGTTGGTAAGCCTGTTTCACTACTAATGTGAATATCAGCATGCAAAGCATACCGACAACCTGCTGCATTACTACTATAACTACTGGTACTAGTAACACCACTATTACTACTTACTACCGCTATCAATATTCCTAATACTACTACTACTACTACTACAACTGCACTACTACTACTATCATTACTACCACACTACTACTATCACTGCTTTACTAATATTAACATTACTACCACTATTATTGTTATCGTTACCACAACCAGTACCATTTTATTTGGCATTAATGAACTCATTTTCTACTATCCCACCTCTTTTTTGCTCATCATTATTTTTTCATTTCAGTTAGATCCATAGACTGCTTCCAAGATAGATTGTTTGATAGTTAGACTGACCGTTATTTCTAACCTGTCATTTCAACCAAAAATTGGCCATTATATATATATATAATGGCCAATTATACATATATATATATTTTTTAAATTACCTCAGTTTCAATTCATTTGAATAAAAAAGCAAGTTACATTTGACCAGCTGTTTGGTTATTTTATTTTAGATTTCGAGAGATATGAAATTTTACCATTGTTTCGCGATGATAAGAAAGTGAAAAAAGACCTGCTTCAAATTTAATCTTTCTTTTTATTTATTTCTCTGATCTTAGGCTTAAAATAAGAATGAGAATTAAGGTCAATATATTTTCGAAAATAAAAAGATTGTAAGCTATATTTTAATATCTCTCTATCACTCTTTTGCAGTAAATATTGCATAAATTAACATTTTGCCTGCTTTTTCGCTAGCATTTTTTGCTGCACAGAGAATAAAGATAAAGCGAAAGTTATTACACAATAATTGTTGCTACTTTTTTGTCTACAACAGTAACAGTAACAAAAGCAGCTGAAAACAACAGTAATATAACGAATAGCAACAGCAATAACAGCAGCCAACCGCAAAAACTATATTGTTAAACTGTACAAGAATAATGTCTGGTAAGTTAAGATAAATATAAAGAGAATTAACTGCACATTTATCTTCTTCGATAATGGCAGTGATCAGGATGATAAAACTTTCATTAAGGTCCTAAAAGGAATGAAATTGGAGTCGTTCGATTCGCAATCACCAATTCGCGGTACAGCGACGATGTCATCGTCGCAGTCCCAACAACAGCAGCAATTTCATTTAGATTCATCATCAGTTATCAAGACTGCTCCACCAGGTTCAAAAGCACAACACTTTTCATCAGTGTCTTTCCTGGCTAAGAAAATAAGAAAAAAACTTGGAATGTTTCAGAAATTCTGACCATTCATTAGAAAACATTTTCGAATCAAAAAATTGTGGTTAAAACTTTTTCATTACTCAGTTTGCATTAATTATTTTTGTTGGATGAATGGACGATGAATACTTAAAATATTTTTGTTAGAGAAATTTTTTGTGTTATTAATTAGCCCAGTTATCTTACTGTACAGAAGTGACTTGATGCCTTTCACAAGTTGCATATTTTTGAAGGTCGTGGGCAGCACCAACAACAGCAGCAACAGCATGATTTTTCGCCAAAAAGTGAGCCTATCGATTTGGCACCACTTAGCCAGCCAAGTTTGCAAGATCTAAGCAAAATGCAACCTATCGAACAATATTATTCAATGCCTAGTTACAGTCGTGTATATACGGATTATGCAGCTATTGGACTTGCACAGGGCCAAACGTCTATTATTACGGCTCCGTCAAGCGCTGCACCGCTTTATTATCCAACTGTTTTTCAAGGTGCCGTGACAGCCCATGAATGGCAACGTCCTATGGAGCATTACCAACAACAATACCAACAGCAACAACAGCAACAACAACAGCAACAGCAACAACAACAAAGAGCTAGTACTCTACAGTATCCTCAGGAGGTATCACAACCTCAGTCCCAGCAGCAGCCACAAGAAACTCGGGTATATAAAGCCGCGGTTGAAATGCCATCACCTGTAGATAGCGGAATTGGAGCTGATTTATCCTTGATTGCAACCAAAAATGATGATTTTTACACAGCTGCTGAAGTACTCCATGGTATACAAGCTGCTAGCACAGAGCGGAGCGAACGATCGCTAAGCCATCGAGATTCCCCAGTCATCATCCCAAAACTGTTAGTTAGTTAGCTGCCCTTTTACTATACCAAACAGTGCCGAAATTTTCGCCTCACTTTCTTTTTCTTGTTTACTTACCAAGAACAAAAAGTTGGAAACAAACCTGAAAATTTTCATCAAACCATCCTGAATTAATTTCGTTCACATATTTGACACAACATTATTTGAGAGAGATTGCAAGCAATATTTGATGATATCTTACATCGAGTTTTATGCAAACTTAAAATGGCATCACTTTCTAAAGATTTCTTCCACTGATCATATCTCACTGGTAACAACTCCTGATAGACTACCACTGTTACCAATTTGAGTAAAAATTAAAATTACATGTGGTGTCTTTGTTAATTTTGCAATTATTCATAAATTATGCATTAAGATTTTTATCCAAAATCAAAATTTTCAAGTTTAACATTCGTAGAAGTGAATTGTGCAAAATTCGGTGACGAGCTTTGATGGTTAATAACAATTTTTTGAGTTTGGATGGAAACTTCAAAAATGTATCATTTCGTGATTTCTCAGAAAAAACCAGTTATTTTGCTGCTGTTAAGAGATTTTTACTTCTTCAAATTACTCTCAATTTTCGTTTCTTCGCATATTACTCGAATATATGCCAAGTACCTTACTAAATATGAAAAATGCAGGTCAAATAATATGCATAAACACTCAACTCCGAAATATAGAATAGAAACAGAATTTGAGGAAACTAGTTTTGTTGCCATTTACCATTCCTCGAATATTCACAAATATAATTTTACACTCATTGCAGCTTTCAGCAGAATGAATATAGCATTATAATTAAGCATTATTGATTGGTTCCCTGCAAGTGATCTTGCTAGCAATACTACTTGAATATTATGAACAGATTAGGAAAATTATCCATCCGCAAAATTCATTTCTTATTATTCTTTTCCTATTGTGAAGAACAAATCAGAGATCACAAGTTATAAATTTTGTTAATTTTGCTTCACTCACAAGATGAAAGTAAAGCTCATTAATATTAGTGCATGTAACCAAAGTTGCTTGAACGTCAAAGAGCAGTAACTTAAGTCGTGTTGCGATAGCGTTTGCATGGTAATAGCTGAGAATGAGTGAAAAATAAACGTACTGGCCCATATGGTGAAAATAATTTCGCAGCATGCAGACAGATTGCAGTTATATATATTACAGCAACTCTTAACAGGCTCTTTACCGTTGCTTGAGCAAAGCTCTGAATAAATTGCTGATTTTTGCTTCATCTATTCTCTCGAAGAATTATTAAGCTTGTTTGAAAGCACTAGCGAAAAGTCCCAAATTCTACATTTTCGTCTTTTAACCAATCAAAAATTAATATATTTTTGCTTGTCATGGAAACTAACTTCGGCTGATTTTTGTCGTATGTCAAAATTGATTTTATCCATCAAAAACTTTTGTTAGAATAAGAAACTTACAGGGCAATGCGTTTTAAGTAGTTATCAGCAAAACTTAATGTGAGTGGATTTTGAGTTTATTACAAAAGCCTGTGGTAACTTTCTTTTAATTTGTTTGCGAAAAATTTTTCATTTTGTTTACTTACAGAGAAAATAGCTTGGGTTTCCAGTATGTCCTAGAAGCCCCAATCTCGACGTCTGTTCGTAAAGAAGACGATCGGATGACATACGTGAATAAAGGACAGTTCTACACTGTTTCACTTGACTACATACCGGATCTTTGCAAGCCACTGAAAAGTCCTACTGTCAAAGTAATTTTCATTGGACAAATATTGTTTTAAAATTGTAATAATTAAAAAAAATACCTTTCCTCTCAGGTAAAGTCTTGCAATTAATTAGAATATGGATTAAAATAAGTTTAGTAATACAACTAATTATTAAAAGAGTAAATATACTGTAGCTCGAGTTGCAATACGATACTATCCATATCAAAAAACAATCACCATCAGTTTAAGAAAAACACAATAGATTTAAATTAGTGTTTTACCAATCACTGCATTTTGCTCCGATTTTCATTCGAGACTGGTAAATTACCGATTGTATTGATAAAAACGCGCTAGATTGATTGAAAAACTTGTTGTGAAGGATTCACGAAAGATGCATACTAAAGCTTGATTTACATGCAATCAAAATGAGCCAAATTTCTCACGATTCTAGCTTTGTTTAAAATCATTCTAATTAAATGCATGTCAGCACTGTCATATCTTTTCATTTTAACTACTGCTACTGAATTAATCGATCAGCAGAATTGTCACGTTTCGCTCGAAACTTTCGTGAGGATTACTCATAAATACAGCCAATTATTCAAAATTGTGATAATAGTTTTATTCAATTTCTAAAAATTTTTAAAAAATGTATTAATTTATCGCAGTAAAAATTTATTGCTTGCAGCTAAAATATTGAGTTCATCTTTAGGTTTATGCATTCCATCAGTTTAATTACATTTTAACTGAAAATTATTTCTGACACAGATTACTTCCTGCACTTAAAATACAAATAATTTCGCCTTGAGTTTCTGCTTTCATAATTTCATTCAGTTTTACTGCATAATTCATTAAAGCACTTTATCAACATTTTAATTTTTGTTATTTATAATATTAATTTAAATCGATCTTATAATTAATACGAATCAATATAAATATTTTTTCGTCATTAAAGGTTCAATATGCAAATTTTACAGAGTCAGTTAATGATTGTTTTTCGAGAAGATAAGACTTACGAGGAAGAAATTAAAACTTGGCAGTTTTGGCATTCAAGACAACACTCAGTAAAGCAAAGAATCCTTGAAATTGATGCTAAAAATAGTTCTGGAATGATTGGACAAATTGAGGAAATCGCGCACAATGCTGTGCAATTTTATTGGAATCCTACAGAGCAGTCAAATGTGAAGGCAAGAAACTTTGGCTGAAATTTATTTTCACTAGCTAATGCAACAATATCTCAAGTTTGTGAACAAAAAATAATCAAAGCTCTCGTGTAAAAATGTTCACGAATGAACAAGAAATAATAAAAAACTACAAGTATAGTTAGTTTCGTGAAGATTTTTAATCATTTTTGTTCAAAGATGAAAATTTACTTAATTTTGCAACTCTTCCACTTCACCACTCAATAAATTTTAAATCTGAACTGATATTTATCAAATTGCAACTATCGCTTACTTTGAATTTAGATAATACCACTACTGTATTTTAACACTCTATCATAATTTTCTACTTTTAAAATTGCTACTTGTCACATTTTAGAAAAAAATTAGCATAAACTGAACTTGTTCGCGAATTATTTCTTCTTTATTCAATAGTTGAATATGATATATTGCAGATAAGTATCGCAGTTCAGTGTTTATCAACAGATTTTAGTAATCAGAAAGGTGTTAAAGGTCTTCCATTACATATTCAAATTGACACTTATGACGAGAATGACAGTACAGATATACTTTTCCACCGCGGATACTGTCAAATTAAAGTTTTTTGCGATAAGGTTAGCTTTGCACAATCAGCCATCATTTTCTTGTAATTTAGCTCAGTAAATTATGCAAATTTTAAATGCAAGTATACTTTGAGATTTTAAAATTGAAGGAATAATAATAGTGTAATGAATAAGAGCAATAAATAATAATCATAAATTTCTGCGTGAATTTTGGTTCGAAATAACACTTTGATTTATTGTTCTTAAAATTCAAAAATGAAGGATTGATTTATTGCCCATTAAAAAATTTCGTGAAAACATCCCTTCATTTCCAATTACTGTTATATTTAGTTTACAAAGCTCCTTTTCAAGGCATTATATAATAAATTATTGTTTCCGAAATCAAGACTATTCGTTACAATATTATCATTATAGTCATTGTAGTCCTTTTCTCTGTAATGATAGTAATAACTATTACTGTATAACTTATAGGGTTTAGATACCATAATTAAGCATTTTAATAGTTGAACTGGAAGTATTGCACTCTAACATTATAAAAGAAAAAGGTTTTCATATAATCACATGCTAAAAGTATTTGAAAATGATGGGTATTCAGTACTAAGTCGTGTCACAAACATTTTTTGAAATTACTAGAGTTTGGAATTACTGTAATTAGACTTAAGCTAGCGTTGTTTTTCCAACTTTGAAAATTCATTACTGTACTCAGATGATTACTCTTATTATTCATTTTAACATTACCACTATTTCAAAACTAAATGGAAATTAGCAAAGAGCTTCTTCAAAATAGCTGGAAACTAGCAAAGAAACTTCCTCAAAATAGTCACTGAGTAAAATACTTGACTTAGGGAGCAGAACGGAAGTTACGTGATGAAGACAAAAGAGCTCAGAAACGTAAATTGACAGGTAATCAATGATTTAAAGCCAAATAGTTATGCAATACTTGGCAAATCAAGCTTAATGTTTAAACATTTATTGGAGCTAAGACATAGAACCTGATATTAACCTTTAAGTATCAACTGCATTTTGCCTCCAAAGTCGATCATTTTCTGCAACTTATTTTCTTGGCTTCAATAAGTGTTTTTCACGCTCAGTTCAGCTTAGCAACTTGTACTCTGTGATGAGGTCTGTGCTCGTCTTTCTGTCGCCGTTTCTGTGACTTGTTAATCGGTTGTTTGTGGAAAGTGGCTTTAAAATTTGCAAAAACTTAAAAAATAATCTATTAATTTCACTATAATGAAATTAAGATTAAAGTTGAAAACGCAACGAGTCCTTGAAAGTTATTTAATTGCATATTTACTTTTTATGGTGTTTTTTGTCTTTTACCAAGCTTCTTGTGTTTTGTCATCGTAGTAAGAACATCTGCTATTTTGTGTGTTTCGTCGCAAGTATTTTTCGTCATGGCTTTATAGGGTGCTAACCGCAAAATGCTGCATGAAACGCGAAGAGATGAAAAACGCAGGCTACAAGGTTATCACTTTTTTCAAGCTAAATTTGACTCTTCATCATATCGTTCTTATGATTTTTACTTACGTAATAAATTCATATTTCTGTAAACGTCATATTAACCTTTTTGCCTTCATGTTCACTTACACTTTTGTCCTAAAAAAGCATTCAAAACCTTATTATTTTGATAATTGATAAATTAAGCAAGTGTGAATAATGTCAGAAATATTTTTTATAGAATGAAGTTTTTTATCTGAACTGGAATTATTCGAAGAAGAAGCAAAGATGAAATTTACTTAAAAGATGTTTTTGAATGCTTCAAGATTTTTGTTTATCGTGCAACATACTGCTAACCTAGCAACTGATAACAATCAGTCCCTGATAAAATTTTTCATTTTTCACACAGGACGCAAGAAATCAGAAGGTGAATATCATGAACCCTGTGAACGCTCCGAATTTTATCACATGAGTGATCTCAGTAAGCGAGCTGCTCTATTTATCGGACCAGATGAATACGATTCACGCTATCTGGAAAGTAGCTTGGCATTTGACCCATTATCAGAGTTAGAACCAGTTGCGAAACGGCCAAGAGCATCTGAGAGAAGTAACTCTTCAATATTCTTATTTTTTCTCGTTCAATTTTGTTTTTTTAAATATAATTTCCGCAAAGGGGAAATGTATTGCATAGAAACCAAAAACTTGCAAGAAAATTTCGGTAATTTTTGGGAAAATTGTTTCAGCAACTTTATGTGAATTGCTACCATGTCAGCATGAATAATGATGTAACAACCATGGGATTGCAGTAGTATAATTCAAAAGTAGATCAAACAAATTTAGTTCATTTCAGCTATGTCATTAGAATTTTAAGTCATTTGTTGTGATTCCACAAAACATTAAGAAATAATAATAGTCGCAAAATATTGCATTATATATAATCAAAAAGTATGAAATTGGATTTCAATGAAATATTCCCCCACATTCCTCATCAAATTACAAATAACGAATATTGAACTGTTGAAGTAAAAGAATACATTTAATGACCAGGATTTGGAGAGTTTTATAAATTGACAGGAATTCTGACAGCCTATGTTTATCAAGACTGATATGAACTAGGTTTTGAATTAATTTCAATAACTCGAATCATTGTTGCTGAAATAACGATAACTTGAAATCACGCCTTTTCGATACCTGATTGGTCGTGCTTAAAAAATGATTACCGTAATGGTCAGAGAAAACCATCTTGTCCATTACGATAACAACGTCAAAATTAACAAATTTACCTATTATACAGTATAAAGTTGCTGTTCAAAAATACTGAACTTAACCACTTATTACTCAAAATAATTGACAAATTAACTCATTATTTGAAAGCTCATAATGGCAAACACAGGTAAGAAATCAGAATTTCACATTTAATGGTACTTAAACGTAACCATTTAAGTGCATCTCAAAACTTGATAGTATCAAGTTGATTATTAGATATACGCCTATGAAATAACTCCCAAAAAACTATGTTTTGTTATTTTTTGTTATTAAATGGTTTCGTGATAACTTTTTAGCAATTAATTTGCAGTTATTCACACGTTGGACTTTTCTCAAATAAGAAACGGCCGAAGTTTTGTTTTTCAAGTAAAAGATGACGCACATTTTGATTTCTTCTTTTCTTTGTTTATTTAAAATGTCACTTTTTACTGCAATTCTTACAATTCACAGCTTTTGCGCACAATTTTTTGAAACTAAATCATTTCACTGTTGAGTTTCAATTGCGTTCCAGGTGATTTGCTAGGAAAAACTCCTTCCACACATAGAACACTAAAGCTAAAATTTTTTAATTGTGCATTCAAATTTTGATATTCATTATTATTAAACACGTAAATGTCATTCATGAAAAAGTTCTGAGGAATTGAAGGAATTGAAGTTGTCATGCAAAACAGTCATCGTTTTGGAAGAAACAAACAGTTCTCATATTTAAAAGTGAAGCAAATTTTAGACATATTTCAGTAATGCTCTACGTAAGAAAAAGAGATGAGCAGATTTATACGCCACTGCATATAGTACCTCCCTCATTAGCCGGTTTCATCCAAGCCGTTGCAGAAAAATTTGGAATTGAAACCGAAAAGGTAAGTAATTCTTTTTTCCGGTTTTTTTTTCATTTTTCAGCCTTGATACTGCAATGAAAGTCTAATTTTGGCACAATTTTTGATATTTTTGCCTTTAACTTCGAGCTTATACTTTATTAACAAATGTTTTTTTGAAACAAAACAAATCTCTGTACATAATCTGGAAAGGTTGGATTTGTGAGAACTTTTTCAAATCGCTGAAATTTCTAAAATAAAAAATACCTAATATCATTTTTACATCATCTTTTTTGTTTGCAATAAAAATTGCGTTTCTGTCGAAAATCGTAAACTCAATTTTTTTCCTTTTTATTCCGATGCATTGCACAAACTTCCTTAATCATTAAATAAATGCTGGTGTTGTTGCGAATTGCAGATATCGGGTTTGTTTAAACAGTGCACGAAAGGTGTTACCGTAAAGCTGGATGACGATATGTTAAAGCACTATTGTAATGAGGATACATTCATCATTGATATTGAACAAGCTCAAGATGATCCATCGTGTTGCACAGTAACGCTTGTTGAACTTCCACCGTCACATTTCACACAATCGTCATAACAAAACAATTTTTAGTACTTCATTCGTTGACTTTAAATCATCTTGCAGACTTAATCCTTATCATACATTTCTCAGCAGAAGTAATTCTTTATTGAAAATTAACCAAAATATGATTTGGGCATTGAGATTAATTGTTAAAGGAAAGACAAGATTTGAACAGGGCTGTGATATATTAAGTTTTCCTTGTTTGCCAAAACGACATCAGCAAGTAATACATTTGAGAGTGAATTAAAAAAATAAAGACATATTTGCTCAAACTTTGGAAAAGAGCAGAGCAGGTACTGTAAAAGTACTGCATCATTTAGTATTCGAATAGAAGATTGATAAATATATTCCAAAATACAAAACTAGAACGGAAATCCCTCGCACTTTGTGAAGTTTTGTTTTTTAAAGAATCTTTGTTTATTTCGCGAAAGCTTGCATCTGATTTAATTTTTTTAGATAATTTTGAGGGATTTGAAAAAGTAAGCTTTGTTAGATTACAACCGTACTTGAGGATGTGATAGTGGTCTGAGTGTTGCGTTCCAGAGGTGAAATGATAGCAAAAGAAAAGAAAACAGCTAGCTCTCAGTGTAATGCTTTAACTCTTGAAATGGTCATTTAGTTGTAATGGGACTGTTCACTATTCACTCTCAGTATTGTTTCTGTAATAAATTCTCTGCAGTGTCAATTCCAAAACTGTGATTCTTTGCCACAGAGTTTTACACTATATTTTGTTTTATTTTCTTGATTCATTTGATCTTTGCTCGGCTTTTCTATTCATTTTTGCATTTAAGCTAATTCCAAATTTTCATTGCATTAATAATCACTTGTGTGTTATGTAAATATTTGCATATTTGATCATTGTTTTACCCATAATTAGTCTAGCAAATTCAAACTGAGTAGTTGCGTGGAGCTTATTAGCTGTTTAAGCCTTCTAAAATGCTAGTCACTTGGAGCTTGTCAGTCAGTCAGTTAGTTAGTTAGTTAGTTAGTTAGTTAGTTAGTTAGTTAATCAAAGCTTTTTTAAATGAGCGAATTGTGCTCATTTTATTCAGTCATTTAGTGTAAAGAGAAAGTGGCATTTTTATTCTATCAATTTGTAAATGAATGGTTGCTTTTTTCAAACTTTTTTTAAAAACTAGTGATGTATTACGCGTTCACTCATCTGTATGGCGTCATTATTTTATTCTGTTCGTAATACGTAGAGTGCCGTGACAGCGTAGATCATTTACTCGTAATTTTTTTAATGATCCAAGTATGCAAGTGACTAGATTGTTTTTTCGTCATTTAGTTTCGCTAGTTCTGTTGTAAATCTGATCGAATTAGTAAAATATGCGCGGAATATTTGTTTTGCATTTGTGTGCTACAAATTGAAGAATATACTTTCTTCATTTTTTGCTTCTGATTCACTTTTTAAAACTTTAAATTTCGTAATTCGATCACACTTGGTAGGTAGAGTTCTCAAAGTCTGACTTTTTGAGAATAGTCGTCAACAGTTGCTCGCAGTGGAGGTTTGCAATAGTTGCTAACTTTTGAGTAATTTTTTTAAACTGTGCGTTATTGATGTGCCTAATCTATGATTCACCATTTGTCTGCTTTTGATACATTTGAATTTGGGATCACATTTCACATACTTTCCATGTACTCTTGCTTTCGATTCTTTCCGTACTCGACAGCACACCCAAAGTAAGTAAAAGAAGTGCTGAGTAGGTAGATGACGTCACTTGCAGAAGCAAACGTCTTGAAAAATTTGACTTTGAAAATGACAAAAATAAGTGCTAGACTATACTAGCCTATAGTATTGGAGCATGAGAAGGATTAATGGAAACTGAGAGTATTGCTTTTTGCTGTTTTTTTGTTATGTTTACTTGTCTGTAAATAGTAACTGTATTGAATGAGATCGCTTCATAAACTTACATTCGTTAAAAAGCTAGTCAAAAATCTAATGTAGACACTTGTCTCTCTTGAGCATTAACATAACCGATCGATCATATATAATTCAAAACTAGCAAGGTATTGTCTCTTTCCTCTGTTACTGACCATTTTTGTAAATAAAGAATAAAGAGTTGTATGTATTTATGCAATGGAAGTGACAATTTTTCATGGATTTCATTTGTCTCAAATCTTTTGCAGTGATGATTAATAAGAATAATGATGCTTTGGTGACCAACTTTAGAGATATATACTTGTAATTTGATAAGAATGCTTAGGAAGAATTACTAGCGAATGGCAAAGGCGAAAATCGTTTTCTCTATCACCAAATATACAAACATCACTGTTCTTGAACAAATGTATTATCTTTCGATAATTTGAAAACTAACACTAAAATTAGATGAGATGAAAAAGCTGGAACTGAAATTATCCTTCACGATCACACTATGAAATATTTTAATTTCACATTAAGAACAAAACTTTCTGAATGAAACACTGTGGTAGATTTCGTGAAGATAAAGAAGACTGCGCGATAAATTTCGTAAGCGGCGAAATGAATGCCTAGAAGAAAAAAAAATGGAACTGCAGAAGCAATCACACAAGGTGTTTTTACATTTCTCTTTCAAACGAAAAACTGATCTCGTACGGTGGATAAGAGTTGTAGTATTCATGCAACAGTATTTCTTTTTTGATCTTTTCGTTTTTTACCCCACTGCTAAAATCAAAATCAACCGAACGAAATCCCATCATTCTTACCCACAGGCGGTTGCCCTGTCTATTGGTGAATATTCCATAAAGAAAATCAAAAAAACACTGCAATTCGGCGAATTCTACTAATATGATGCAAAGTAAAAGATGACTTGTACTTATACATGAAGAATAATTTCATCATTGAATTAATCATATCGTATACATCGGCTAACTCACGTTTTCGTTTCGTCAACAATAGTTTTTTTGAAGTCTTTCATACTTCGTTTCATTTGCACTGCAATGAAAATGAAGGAAAGAGAATTGCTATTATTAAGTTAGTAAAGTAAGGAACGTATTCTATTGCAGTCAATCGTACCGCTAATGAGAAAAACATTCAATGCATATAAAAGCCCTTTCAATGTATTGATTTGAAAAGGACATCTCAAAGAATTATGACAAAAGATATAATTTAGAATCCGAAGACAATTTTACTGCTGCTAGATACTGCTTCCAAACATTACGATACATCAGTAATTTATAGAAAAGAGACGTAAAGAAAGCAGATTGGAGCAATAAACTCTTTTTAAAATGTTACTCAGGACACAGGCAATAATGAAAATAAGCAGATCGCTAGTCTGATGCAAAGAAAATAAAGTTGGCATCAAGCAACCTGACAAACAAAATAATTTAGGTGCACTGTATCTACAAAAGCTATTTCAAGCCAGTCTTTATTACAACATATTTCATTAATTATACCGAAATTAATTGTTAAGGTATTGTGAACAATAATTTCATAAGTGGAAAAATACTACTTTAGAGTCCACAAAAGTTAGTAAAAACATTATCCTGCTCCATCAATTAGACAAACATCCAGTCTTTTATATGGTATTTCTTTAACGTTTTTTTTTCGACTCACACTCCGCTAAAAACAATTAATTATAACAAGAAACAAATGTAAACTGAGGATCATCCGGTAGTAGAGTCTTTAGAGAAGGTTTTGGAAACGGTGAGAACAAATTCAATTCATAGTTGGCCGTCTCTTGTGAATCTGCTCCATGCACCAAATTACGTGTGTCAGAAAGCCCAAAACGAGCTCTCAACGATGACCGATTTTGAGGTTGTAATGTTTGCAGCATTTTTGACTGCCCCATCAACTCACGCCATCGATCGATTGCATTACTTCTAGTACAACGAAGTTCCATAATTATTACCGGTCCGCTGAACATAAAACGATTCACACGTACAGATATTCGAAAGAGTCATCAAATTTTACATATTCTCAAACTTATAAAGGGCAGTAAAATAACCCATTAAATTTGCTTAGCAAAACTTTCGGTTTCGTAAAAAATGTCCTCTTATGCTTTAATAGAACAGAAGACATACTAATCAATACTAAATAAGTTGGAATTGTGAAATTCAATACTGAAGATTACTTAAACACACATATTTTTAAAAAGAACCATTTTTAAATAGATACTATTATTTTAAGGTGTTAAATTATACTACCTATAGTGATCTCACTGATATTAAACAAAATAGCATATATTACAAATGAAAAACAACCTATTTAAACTACTTCTAATCTTTTTCACTTGTCTTATTTCAAATTTTTTAACACTTCATATTTTTCAAAGTTTTTGCAAATAACCTGGTAATGTGTTGAATGAGCCGCTCGTAGAAAAATTTTCCTGAAATAAGAATCACATATAACTTTTTGAGTACAAAAAACAGATGTTGAGGTACATGTCACAAAATTGTTGTTTCCAAAACGAAACGGAAATAGCACTAATGTTCCATGAAAGAATACAGTACTTAGAAGAATGAAATAAAAGTCTATCTGAAATTAAGCAAACGATTATATTTATATTCTATGTTATGCACAGTCAGTGGTGTATTCTTTAATAAATTCACCTGTCAAAAGCAGACAATACAAAAATAACATCTACTGCACCTATGTTTTCAAATATAATTTTAGAACCTCGTGACAAGTAGTCATTGTAAAGACACAATAAAAAATCCTACCTGTATATAACATAAAAGAAGAGATAAAACAAAGTTTTATGCTCAATTACATGATGCATGCAAAGGCAGAGGGATGACGGGCATTATAATCTTAAATTACTGCAACAATCTGCAGTATCGACAATTGAAATCTTCAAGACTTGAAAATTAAATGAATATAATAATTTAATTCACGAATTCGGTAGTTTTTAATTTATTTTATTCAATTATCAAAACCATTTGACGAAAGATATTAGTATTCCAGAAAAAGAATTAATAAATATGACATATCTACGAGGACGAATCATTTACTTGATTATAGATCAAAAAATAAAATTAAAAATAAACCACATGTGTCAGAGTATTTTTTGAAAATCAAACATATAATTACATTTCAGCATCACTTCATATTACGTAATAAGTAAGAATAATCATGTAATATGATTATCAAAGAGCTCAAAATCACTTGCCTTTATGTGTAGAATACAGTTTTTCAGCGCAACTTCTGGACATACATATTCTTTTTGCCCCTGCGATTATCATATCATTTGCTAGGATTTCATTCACAATGGCCTAGAAGCATAATGAATTGATTTACACTGAAACATTTTTAAACACATCTATGAATATCCTTTGTTTAGTTGATAAAAACCATGCCAACTTTACAATGAAAATAAAGCACCTCAAACTTTAATACGTCTGACTGATTTTCTGAGCTCATGTCTTGCAATCATGCACATCCACTCGATTACTCATTATGATATAAAATTCCAGCTTTTAAAAAGTACTAACAAGATATGTCGCCGCAGACTAGAACTTTGCAACACGAGTATCACACAATGGAAAGTTTATTTTATTTCTACAAACGTTTCAGAACGCTAAAATCTATTTTAACTCTTTTTGCTTTTGTTAAGTATATGAGAGTACTGGAAGAACTGAGTATGAGCAAAAAAAATGTCTCGCGAAAAATCTAGAAGACATAAAAGAAGACTGCAAAGAACTGAAAATAGAATAAACGTGCGATCAGAAGAATAAAATTTTATTGGAAAGCGTGAGAAACGGAGCAAAACAGACCTTCGCAATAAGTGGTACTGCAACTGCTTCTGGTTTTATCATAGCAAATGTCTTCGAAATCATTTTTCTGATACACTCTAACTTTGTTTACACAATTACGAAAATAAATAAGAAAGAATTCATGGCATAAAGCAGAATTAATCGAACACTGAATATTGAATCTTCTTAAACTCTTCTAGAGTAAGAACATGAGCGTTTGTGAGCGAGATGAGTTACCTGTTTGTGTACACTGCTAAATTTTTGAATTTACGTTATTTTGAACTCCAGCAATTAGAAAATAAGATTCTGATGGCTGTAAAGCTTTTGCGATTTTGGAAAAAAAAATTCCAATACTTCCTGAGAAAGAAAGTTTGGTAAAGGAAACCATTTATCGCTTGAAGAATAATATAACAACGAACAGAAACACAGGAATGCTAATATTTATTATTAATACTACTGAACTTATCAGTGAAATTTGCGGTCCGTTAATTATGAACACCTATAGAAGGGAAATCTGTAAGTGGTACAGTCATTGTTGCTTGTAGCATTCTGTTTTGTGGTTGATTGTTCTTTTCGCTCCTAATTCTTTCCTTCTTTTTCTACGTTGAAAATAATTGCAGTACATTTACGGAAACATATCAAATTCATGTTGTATTTTTTAATAGTTATTCAGAAATTATTGGAAATTAATTTACACAACTTCGTAAAATAGTATTGAATGACATGCTTTCATTTTTCCATGTAGCAGATCCCAACTAGCTGAAATCAGCTAATAAATGCTATTTGTCACATAAAATAGACCATTTTGATCTGTCTGCGATGTTTATTTTATTTTTCGATTGCTAAATTATTTTGAACAAGAATCTTATCAAGAAACACTAATTATCATTAATCGTACGTAAAATAATTTCAACAAATTGCCCACAACCTGAAGTTAAATCTTCTTAAACTCTTCTAGAGTAAGAAGAATGAGCGTTTGTGAGCAAAATGAGTTACCTATTTGTGTACATTGCTAAATTTATGAATTTACGTTATTTTGACGGTCATTGCAAGGAATACTGATATTGTCTGCATATGAAATCAAACCAGGTTTGTTGATAGCCCAATTTCTCCTGATGCACATATTTCTGTAGACGTAATTTTTTGGGTTTCTTAACATCTGGTTTTGCAACTTCTTTTTATTCGGAGTTAAAATTTTCAGCAGCAGTTAATTAATAACGAAGTGATGATCTTGGCTAAAATAAATCAATTAAACAATTAAAAGTTGAAAATTAACGATTTTGAATTTCGATGTGTTTGATTATTTTGAAAGGAATTTGGCGCCTTTTTGCACTTGTTTGTAGTACAGTTCACATACATACTGTAATGGAATAGAAATTTGTTATTAATATTTGCCGTCCCGGTATTTGCATGCTCATCATGACTTCATTTTAAGGAATTATTATTTGAAACAGAAAGAGGAGAGGTAGAAAGGAGAGAAGTGTTTGGGAGTGGGCGTAAAGTATAATTTCGAGACACTCAGTGTGGAAGCGAAAATATTTGCTGAAAGAAAGATCTGGAAAGAGATAAGATAATAGAAAGTGAAAGGAAGTGTAAGGGAATAACAAAAGATCACTGCCTGCTGCGTCGGCCCTGAATTATATTAATGATTAAATAGGACGGTACTAAAAACGGGCCTGTCCGTGGATCAAGTCCAGAATGTAGAGTAACTGCTGAGAATTCCGCGATGGCTATTGTTGGAACGCGTAAATGGCGGTACCACCAGGGACGAAATAAGTTCTGGTGCGATGGTCGTATTATTATGGCACGACAGAGTTCAATTTTCCTATTTACCGTAGTGGTTATCGTAGGAACAATGAGTTTATTTTTTATCTTTGAGTTAGTCTTTTCTTAATTCTTTTAGAACTGATATAAACGAAAAAAATGACATATTTCGAGTGAAAAAAATTGTCTGCCTTCCAAAATAAATGTTAAATACATATTCCTGCTATCTAATTGAAACCTCTCAATGCATACTGTGTATTTTTCAATTTCTTGGCATATTATTTTCTGGCTTATCCTCCAATCTCACAGCTTATATTTGGTATTATGATACCATAATCAATTATTTCTATTTATAACTACTCTTTTAAACCTAATACTGTCTTTTATTTTATCATCATTTGCAGTTATAAAGTATTTTAGTGCTCCATATTTGTTTTGGAATGTTTCACCTGCGCTTCCAGTTATTGCGGGATTATTTTTGTGCCTTGTATTAATTAATTTATTCAAAACATCGTTTTCTGATCCAGGTATATTACCGAAAGCTACAAGTTTAGAGACTCTCGAGTTACATCAACAAAATATTGCAGGTACATTTGCTTGTGGTGAATAAGACAATTATAAATTTCATTCAGTAATGCCAAGATTGAAGTTATTTGTTGTCTAGGTAAAAATGGATTTCAGTGCATTTAGTGTGACACACTGACATTGATTTGCTCCTATGATTCATACGTTTCAGCATTTATTATTTGGGCTTAAGTTGCTGTCTTTGACATATCTCTACTTCTTTAGCATTTAGAAGTTGGTAAAATATTGCAAGACTATAAATCAGTTAAAATAGACGTTATGTTAATGGATTATTGCTGTCACCTGTTTTACAAAATCCTAAATTTTGTATTTGGAGATTTGGAAATATTTTGAGGTTTACACCATGTTTCCAAGTTATTATTTTCCAGAGATCAATTGTTCACCTGGAACAGTAAGAACCCCACCACGTACCAAGGCTGTTCGTATCAATGGCCAAATTATCATATTGAAATATTGCTTCACTTGTCGGTTGTTTCGTCCACCACGTTCTTCTCATTGTTCTATATGCGACAACTGCATCTTAAACTTTGATCATCACTGTTAGCTTTTTCTATACTTTTTGCTTGCTTTTCCGTAAATTTAGTTTGAATTATATTCTGACATGATAAAGGAAGAAAACACAAATTTAATAAGGTGTTTTCAGCGACTAAATAATGTGCTTGTAATAGCCATTATTCACACTTATGTGTAATTGTATCTAGTAGATCCGTCATACTTAAGATTAGAAATTTTTTGGAATCTTTTATACAAAAAAACAATTCCAGGTCCATGGGTGGGTAATTGTGTAGGAAAACGAAATTATCGACATTTCTACTTTTTTGTTGTATCGCTCACCATACTCACATTGTATATATTTGCCTGCGTATGTCTTCATCTCGTTATTTGTGAGTTTTTTGTATTTTGAATTAGTGAACAGAAATAGCATAATTTTTCCTTTTTTTTACAGGGCATACTGAGTCATTTCTCAAAGAGAAATTTCATTGGTATCATGAGAAATTGATGCTGAAAATACTTTAGTTTTTATTTCTTATTATTTTACAAAGTGTGTGAAGCCCATGTCATAGATTTTTTTTATGTAATTTTTTTTTGATAATTAGATATAATACCTCAAAACGAAGTATATTTGTATATTTCCCAATTTTGCAGCTTGACCAAATTTGTAAAAGTTGTATGTAAGTTCGTAAATCAAAATTTAAATTCAAATATATTGTTATCATTCTCATCTTTACTTCGTCCTTTCGTTTCTATTATAGCTGATGGAAAACGAAAGAGCAGTTTTTTTTTGCAGTGTCACAAAAGGAGAAAACATTTTTGGGTGCAGTTAGACAAAGTCCAGTGTCGCTTATTATTGCTTTAGTATGTTTTTTTTCGATTTGGTCTGTATTTGGTCTTTCTGGCTTCCACACATATTTGCTATCAACTGATCAAACAACAAATGAAGATATCAAGGGAACTTTCAGTTCCAAACGGTTACCTAATATACAAAATCCATATTCTTCCGGTTCCCTATTCTGCAATTGTTTTCGAACGCTTTGTGCTCCAGAGCCACCGAGGTTTATTGTTTTGAATTTCTCTTTAACTTTATCTCAGCAACTGGCTGCTTGTTTCTGATTAGTTATTTACTTTAGGTAGTTGTGAAATTCCTCCCACTCTAAAAACTACACTATCTATTCAGACCTGTATTAAATGAACAAGAAAATCTTCTCTATAGTTATTCATATAATTAGATCTTTCTTTGAAAATTTGAAATTGAGATTCAAAAAATGTAGGTTAGATTTATTTTCATGATTTTGACGTTAAAAAATGCTTAGTAAACTTCGATCAAATGTAATAATTGTACGTATTTTTTTTGCTTGCTTTTTCTGTTAGGTCGTACAATGACTGATAGGAATCTGTCCCCTATTTCAGCTTAATTGATAGAAGAGGTGTCGTTGAACCTGAGCCAGTTGTAATAGTAAAAAGTCATAAAGGAATCGATGGTTTGGAGCAACGCTCATATGAAATTATTGCTGGGTATTGAATGGCCCATTTTTTTATTATATTTTTATTTTGGTTACATAGAGATAAATTAGGTTGGAGATTTGTTCTTTATTTGAAACCTCTTTGAAACATTTCATTATTAATTCGAATTCAATGAATAAAGTCCTTGTTAAAGATTGCATTAATTTAAAATGAAACTTACTAGTTGAAGAAAATAAGTTGGCGACTATCATCAAAAAAAATTTCACGAGGCAATACTATGGGCAAACTTCGATATTTTTCTCAAGGTTTTATCGCGCTGTCATTCTAGTTTTCGTATAATAGATATGATTTGCTCAGAGACGAATTTTGATTCTGTATTGTCATTTTTCTGGAATATGTGCGAGTCTGCGTACGCTACGTTATAAATCGATAATTAAAGTACTATTTGTTTCAGGAAACAATCGACATAGAGTTAGCAAGTATCTCATTTATGATTCATGCATTTGCTTACTGTTTGTTGTTTTTGTTGATAGCTCACTTTTAATGCAAAGTTAAGAATAATTTTGAGGATTATTGGTCCTTTGCATGAACCCATTCTGCTTAGGAAAGACTATAAATAGAAAATTGGTGCCAATGTGATTTTTATTTCACTCTTCTTCATTCTGTCACAAACTGGTTCACTTGTAACGTGTAATAAATTTGTATAATGTTTATTGACTTACAGGTACTGATGAAAAGTTTTATATTGTTCTTGTTTTATGCAATAATTTCTGAACTAAAATTGTATCACATGTCTGGCTTGCATACAGCTTTTCGAACGATTGAACACTGATTCCAGACACTGATGCAGCTAACACTTGAGCATTAAATTTCAACGCATCAGTGAGTTGGCTAAGAAAATGGTGTACATTATAAGCTATCAATTATAATACAGAAGTAGAAAACTCTAGTAACTGCTTGAGATTGCTATCAATTAACCTTTCAAGTATTGAGCATAGCAGTGCAATTAGTACCAACCTTTGCCAAGTCTAAATGCAACTGTCGTTTCTGTTCAAAAGATTGGTTTCATGCTGAAATACGTAACTGGAAAGTACTTAATGGTACAGTTTTGCTATACATCAAGCAAAGTATCGCACTGGACAGTTGTGACATTTGCAACATAATTTCTCGAGGAACTAGCATTTCTGAATCGCGAGTTGTCTTACAACCCTCCGCAATCGACATGATGAGAATACTCTTCTAGAACCCAAAGTGTAAGTGTCAACTTTGGGTATTGGAAAGGGTAATTCTCATTGTTCTTTCTTCCTCACAGATGAGTGAGTATTGTTGATTCTCTTATTCGCTGGATCCTGGGCAACTTTTCCTCATTTCCTAATTCTTTCCACAAGAGAACAGTTTATTTAGATGTTTATTTTTGTCAGTAATTCATTTTGATCTTTTGCGATATGATCAGATAATATTATCGTAAAACAGATTATGTCGGCTATACTAATAGTGTTAATTGAAATGGTAAAAAATCTGGTGTCTGGCGGGGAGCAAATACTATTTGATCTTGATATTTCTGAAAAAAATAAATTTATTTGCAGCACAGTTATGAAACCAGTTTTGCAAACTACTCGATTATGGAATTTGCAACGGCTAACGAATACTAATTCAGTATCTTCGAGCATTCATCACTCTGCTCGAACTTCGTTTACTGCTCATACAACCGTGCAGGTCTTTTCTTTGTTTCATTTCACAATTCCCATGCTGCTGAAGACAGCTTATTGTTAGTTTTAATATTTTATTATATTGTGCTGCCCATTCTTATACACTTAGTACTGATACCATAAAAGTACTATTTTCCCAAATTATCACCCATTTTTTAAATAAAACTCATTTGTTATGGGTTTTATCAGTATCACGAAATTAAAACAACTTATCTTTATGTTAAAGAGTTGTGCATCTCCGATATTATCATGGTATCTTGTCACATTTTGTCAGTCCGAGTAGCAAAAGAGCGGTATCAAAGTTATGGTCTTATTATATCAGTTTTTTTATATAGGCATTCACATATAATCTGAAGTTTTTGTTTAACAACTTATTTAAACTTTAAACTTTCCTATTTATCATATATTTTCAGGCAGTCCGATATTTTTCTCAACAAGGTCAACAACAGCCAAGGCCTAGAAACTTTTTGAAGAATTTAGTAGACAACATAAAGGACGAATTCGAAAAAAATAAGGAATTGCAGGTCATTTTTTCTTCCTTCTTCCATCATAATAATATTGTATCACTTTTCTATGGCTCACTAGGAACTAGTGTAATGTTCTCAATTTGTTTTTTGTTATCTCAACTTAGTTTCATGTCATTAATTAGTGCACTAATGTATAAATAGAAGGTTTTGTTATGTTTAGTTTAAAAGTAATCTTTATCTAAAGTAAGAGTCTTATAGATATATCTGTTTTCTATTTTAATTGAATGCGATTTTATCAATGCCATTTTTTTGAATGGCTTTTTCAGGAAAATAGACGACAGCTGAATGAAAGATTAAAGAATCTTAATGATAGTGAAGCCTTAAAAGAAGCAAGGAAAAAATTTGTGGGTTTTTTAAGAGTTATAATCAGAACATTTTTCTCTAAATTTTTTAGTCTTTACTCTGTATGATTCTTATTTTTAGGAACTGATTGAACAAGAAACTGTAAAGAGTTCACAGATTATTCAGAGCAAAATAAATGAAGTCCGTACCCATATTTCACGGGTGAGGAGCTCATTCCTTATTTACATGCCAATTACTTTCTTTTTTTCAGAGATAGATGTCGACAAGTTGTATAGTTTTTGCCATTGTAATACCTTGAGATCCACTCATAACATTGACATCCATTTGGTTGTAGGTCATAGGACAAGTACAAAAGACAGAAGCTGGGAGGAAACTTTCTTTAGCTGCAGAGGAAATTTTAAAACAAGCTAAAGTTGCTACAGATGTGATTGAAAAAGCAGCTGAACAAGTTGGAGATAATCAACTCTATCAAACTGTCAGTTCGGTAAGAATGTCGTTTTCTACAATTCACGTTTATAGTTTCATTTATAGTTGTGCTAGTTTATATATAATATATGTATACTCTTATAGAAAATCGAAAATGCTACAATTATTTTTTATAATATTTTTCGTAAGGCATTTTCCAACTATTCTTTGGAATCTAAAATATGGCTGGGTCACGCTCAGAGATGTAAAATGAGAGCATAAATCAGCGAATTTTAATCATCCTATGTACATTTCAGTCAGTTAAAATCATCAGGAATGAAGTAGATAATATTGTTGATGTGCGAATGTATATCCGACCAGGTAATACTTTTTTATTACGACGATAATTACTTGTAGCTCAGCAATTTTTCCAGATCTCTGAAAAAGATTTTATCTTTTTTGCGTAATTTTGTACCATTTGATCTGAATATTTTCAGATCAGTTGAAAATGCGCTCAGCAGCTTATTCCGATTACCCAGATCGGATTATAGAAGCTAATTCGTGAGTATTACATACATAGTTTGAACATTTTATATTGAATGCATAAGTCAAGTTTGTGATTTGCATATAAAATTCCTTGTACATTGTACTGGTTTTCGATGTAATAAAAGTTTTTAGGCGTGAACTTACTTCAAAAAGCCAAAAATATTAAAATTTTTTTTTGATAAATGTATTATCTAACACGAGTTTCCAGTATGAAGATGCTGTTTTTTTTAAAAAACGTTTCTGAGTCTTCAAATTATCAAAAAATCACGGTCATTGCTTTCTCCTGCCTTTCAAATATTTCTTTTTGCAAAATCTAAGCAAATGTCTTGCAGGAATGTTACGGATATAGAGCTTCACAAAGAATCAAAGTGGTATGCAGGATGGAAGAACTTCTCTGAAAATAGTGCTTATTATAACAGTATGTCTAGCATTATTTTCTGATCGATTTCAGCAGTAGTATCTTAATTGTAGAGTTTTGATTGGTTAAAAACTTGAATAATTTTAAAGAATATTCTGGGTGGTGAGTTTGATTTTCATATACAGCGGAGCTTTAAATTTAAAACAGATTACAAAGAAGTAAACATCAAAAATAGAGATAGTAAGTCAATTTTTTCGTTTTCTTTTTAGATAAGTTTGTAATGAAAAAAATCATTTTTCAGAAATTTTGGATTGGAAGATGCGTTTAGATGAAAGTAATAATTTAGCTGTAAGAATGGTTCGAAGTTTTACGGACAAAATTTCTTCTCTTATTGGTGTAGTTTTTCTAGAATTTTATTCAGTTTTTAGAACAGACATTTTGAAAATATGTTTCAATTTTCCTTATTCATATAGTTTTAGGACTTAAGTGATTTAGCGCTTTTGACAGTATGCAGTATAACGCATGGAAATTCTCAAAAATTAACTATTTGTATACAATTAAGTAAAGGACCACAAAATAGAGTTATATTTTAATCTGGTGATAAAAAATTGAAAAAGTGTTACATATTCTAACATCAAATTGCACTTCATTCAGGAGGGCACAGTGAGGTATCGGAAGTACTGTCTGAAATTCAGAAAGTCGATCCGAATTTTGATAAAATTGAATGGCTCCGTTTTTGTGAAAAAGAAGTTATTCCAAATGTTTTGGAAGCATTCATTCGTGGAGAGTTGAAAATTCTCAAAGATTGGTGTCATGAAAGGGTTAGCTTAATTTAGTTCTGTCCTCGCTTCTAATTCATCAGAAATCATTAAAATTATATTTTCATAAAATCATTGTTATTTTAGGCATATAATATTTTGTCATCAATTATCGATGAATACAAAAAAGTCAACTTTAGTACAGAAGGCTGTCGTGTTATTGATATCGATAGAGTTGAGGTTTGTTTAGAAATAATTTAATATCTTTTCAGTAGCAAGATTTTTCTATTTACCGAGGAAAAAAATAGTATGGATGCTGTATAGTTTATGAGGCATCGAAACTAATTAAAATACTTTTGATTTTGTTTTTCAAGTATTTCAGAAATTGAACGTGTCATTTCAACATTTTTGTATACTTTCTACAGGCTCTCAGAAAGTTTGAATTAATTTCTAAAGGCTTTTAAATATTTGCTAGATGGTCACTGGTAAAATGATGGAACAAGGCCCAGTAATAATAATCACATTTCAAGCGTATATGGTGAATGTTGTTAGGAACATGGAGGGAAAAGTTGTTGAAGGTGATCCAGTAAGTTTGTTTTTTAAGAATCCAAGTTTATCATGGGTATTTTCAAAGTGATTTTTGTTTGCTCCTGTAAAAGTTCATTATTTTATATGGTTTTCTGCTTAATATAGAGATTTGTTAAATTATGTCCCATAGATAATAAGCAAAAGTCTTCAGACAGCAGTATTTTTCAAAATCATTTCTCCATCATGCATAAGAAGGGTCTTACCCTTCAAAAATAGCATTTTTTAAATCTCCATCATTTAACTCTTGAACTGAACTGTACCATACGAATGTGTTATGTTTAGAAGATCAAAATAAAATTTGCAGAATAGTCCAGTGCGTATCCATCATGTCTGGGTAATGTGTCGTGATATGGAAGAGTTTAACCCTTCAGTAGCGTGGAAGGTGCTAGAGGTACATATGCAAAAAGGTAACTTGGCGTTGTAATATAGGTGTTCGTTCTTTGATTTTGTGGAAATGGTGTGTTGTTAGGCTTTATTTGCTTGTCTAATTTCAGCATCATATGGAATATAGTAGAAGAAAATGAAAGTATTTTTATGGCTAAGAATAGTAATTATTTGGTTAATTTTATTTCTGTGGAAGGTTTTTTAGGTAAAAAGTATATTATGTTTTAATTTACATCTTTGAAGTAGTGATTTTGTAAATTTTCTTTCTGTGAAAGTTTGATTTAAAATAAAAATTAATTTTTTAGTTGTGACTAATAACCTATAAAAATTCAAGATTTCAGGGTCGACTAGTTTTACTGTGAAATAGATTAAGTTTGTTCTTGGGAAATATTTTTTGCCACCCAT